TGGGAAGCTGCTCAGAGTTGTCCAGATTGCACCATTGCTGGCACAGTGTTAAGGCTGTTGAGCTGTGTTTTCTGGAGCTGCTGTTGTGTTCCCAGTGCTGTAGCCATGGGCTGTTGGTGTGGCCTTGATGCAGCTCTGGTTTGCTCCCCGTCCTGGGGAATAACAGAGTTTGTCCTCTTTGTGTAAGTCTGTTTCTGAGAAGTACAAGGGAGGTCGGAGACTTTATTAGATGGAAAGAGAAAAGCTGCCAGACAGGTTTTATCACAGAAATAAAATATGCTCACTTATTTCTCTATGTGTATGTAACATTTGATCATTTTTCATCCTCTGACCTTGGGTACTTCACGGAAGAAATATTACACTAAAAACTGATGAAAGGAGAGGAAGAAAATACATTGTTTAGAGCCCTGAGCAGGTTGAAGCATGAGCTGCAAATGTGATTCTTATGTCCTGAAATTCGACTGTGTGCTACGCCCCATTGCATTGCAAGGTTGAAGTTTCTTGTAATGGCAAAATATGGTCTTGAAAAAACTGGCTGCAAAGATTTTGTTTGTTTAAACAAAGGTTTTGTGATTGCAGAATTCTCTCACTTTTCATATGCTATAAACCACCTCCTCCGCCTCCTCTCTGAAATATGAATTTTGGAGTAATCCATCAAGAAAAAGAGAGACAGAGCCTTGATCCCTTGACTTCAGTTGAGCTGTGCAATTTATATCTACTGAGCATCTGGCTGCGGGGAAACCAAAAGCCCTTTTAATATTCTGCAGAGACTCTGGGTATACAAATGAGCGTGGGCTGTCAGAGCCGAGAAATGGGGCAGAGATGCCAAGAGATTTCTTTGCTGTTTTGCCCAAAATTCTGACCTGTGACCCTATCCGTGGTGAAAGTTGGCCTGGTGTTTTTTTTTGTCTTCCCCTCAATGCCACAGTGATAATTGTGCTGAAATTGTTAGAGCCCCATGGGTATGAAGCCTGGGGAGATTCCGGCTGGACATGAGGTGAATTTTTCACCAGGAGGACAATCAAGCATTGCAATAGTCTCCCAAAGGAAGTGGTAGATTCCCCCACATTGGACAGTTTTAAGTCTCAGCTTGACAGAGTGCTGAGCCATCTCATACAAACTGTAGTAGTACCTAGAAAGGTTGGAACAGATGATCCTTGAAGTCCCTTCCAACCTGGCATTCTCTGATTGTATATGAAGCCATTAGCACGGCTGCCTTGTTTCCAGAGAGGAGTTTGAAGACTGTGAATCTTTTAGCCCTGAGCAGCTGAATTGTACAACTAGTTCATAATAAAATTATGCAAAAGCAGCTTGAGCCCTGCAAAGTGAGAATGCCAAGGTTGCAAGGCACCTGAAGTCAGTCACTCCCTGCTGTCAGCCTCTTGTGGCAGGAGCCACAGGCTCACAGCCTGGAGCCCCTCTGCAAAGCTGTGGTGCTGGGGGCATCAGCTCAGCCTTTGATTGGAGATGGGTCATATGTAGCAGGGTTAGTTGGGTCACTGCTGGCACGGGGTACATGATGTGTTGTTTTCCAGCATGACAAATCTACCATCTGTAGATGTAGATGTATCTGTTTGATTTCTCTTCCCCCCTAGTTGCATTGCTTTACCTATGCCAGAGAGGGGGGAAGGGAGAGGTGTGCAAGGGCAGTGACAGCAAGACATTATGGAGACAGACAGGGTGTCACATGATGTGCTGGTACAGTCTCATGTTCATTATCTCAATTATTGACCCTCCCTGCTGGAACACTTCTAAAACAAATCCTACCATGTGTTTTGAGGTTGGGCTCATCAAGTGAAATTGCAACTGCTTTCTCAGAGTTTAGCTGGAAAAATACAAATCTGCCAACTAGGAATATGAGGCAAATAAACCGTGGTTCTGTGTAGGAATAAGTGATGGATTTCTGCAGATACGGAAAGCGCCTGCTCTGGAGTTCCAGGTCAGAGAGTATGTGTATTTGCCCCAGTGTTATATTTGTTGCATGTGAAATAATGATGTGAGATTCTCAAGCTTGTTTTAATAAAGCAGAGTCCTTTCACCCTGACCAGAAAATTCAGCTTCACAGTCCCAGGCCTTGGAACCACCAGCCATCGGGATTAGACACTAAATACTTCAGTGCATGGTAGTCAGGGAAAATATTTATTAGCTTGATTTGTCACCACCATTCTCAGGCTTTCTGCAAGGGAAGGTGATGACCCCAGACCTTGAAGCAGCCCTGCCCTTGGTGTGTTGTGAGTGAGCTTTGAACGTAAGTGTCTGTAGCTGCAGTAGTGAGCATTCATCTCTGAGTCTGAAAGCTGTTGGTTAGCTAAATAACTGTCCCAAGGCTTTGTTGGCAGGATGGCTTGCCTTAGTAAGAAGATATTTTGCCTTAGGACATCCACTTTCAGGATTAGTTAAATGTCCTTTGGGTCTAGACTAAGAGCCTTGGGTGTGGATCTGGGTTTCCAGGCATTTCACAAAGGAAAGAATCAGAGTTCAAATCCAAGTTGAACTCAAGTAGTTCTCTTTTTGACCTGAGCTGTGTTTTCCATGTTTCAGCAGACATCACTGACATGAAGATGATGTTAGTATAAATGTCCCCATGCAGGGCTAGTGCTGCTTCCTCCCCCTTTTATTTTGTTCATTTAAATCTAATCTTGCAAATGTGCCTGAGAGGGCTCTTGGAGATGTTCTTGAAGAGCAGAGAAGGCTGCTGGGCTGGTGCTGTTTGTACACTCTGTCCAGCAGAGATGGTCAGAGTATCCTCCCCCTGGGAGCTGGTTCATTCACCCCTGTGCAGAGGGGTATTAAAAGCCCTTTTTTATGGGCTGAGCTCTCCAAAGAGAGCTTAAATGATCGATCCATCTCAAATTATGCACAGAGATGGTTTTCAGACAGTTCAAGTCAGTCTCTCTAAACCTATGGGAGTTATTAATATGTGCAAGCCAGCAGAAGGGAGAATAGGACTCCATATTTTGTTTGCTCTGTAACACATCTGGTTTGCCTTTTGGCTCTTGGGAGCACTGGATTTATTCAGGCTTATCTTTCTATGGGGATGAGCAAGATCAAAAGCATGAAGCCAGTTACATGCAGAATGTGATTCCCTGTTTTACACACCACAAGCAGATCCAGACCAAACAAGCCTCACCCATTTCCTTCCCTGTGGGACAATGCACTTATGGCACTTGAGTGTTCATGGGCTAGTTCAAGCCAAAAAATATTGCCCAAGATCTACTGCAGAGAGTAAAAGTAAACAAATGTAATTTCCTGTTGGGTAAAAGAAAGTCCATGTCAGCACTGACCTGTGAGAAAATCTCTTAAGTCGAAACATTCCTGAACCCTCAGATGCTTTGACTGCAAAATGTTGGGTGTCATGAGGTGGAAGCTCCTCTGGGAAGCTAGGCAGGTCCTGATAGAGGGTCAGTGAGAGAACATCTCTTGAAGGTTTATGTAGAGGGTGATTGGTTGCCATTAGCACTTGAGCAATCTTCTTAGACTATAAATCACTGACATGGAACAGCCCAGCTTCCTGCCTTCCAAGCTAGGTGCTGACATCTTTGCATGGCTCTGAGTCATCATTACATACCATATGCTTCATAAAACTGGGAAGTGTTTGTGGGTGAAGACTGGAGAGATTCCTTGGAGGTCCTTGTGCAAAAGGGGACAAAGCTTGTTAAGAGACAACTGAGTCCCAGGTGTTGGGGTGATGTTTAGTCAGGCCAAAACCCATGTTCACCCATTTATCTCTATAGGTAGGCACTGGGTTTACTCAATCTCCATCAGTACAACCTCAGCCTGAGCTGTACCTGGATGATCTATTAAGGGGCTAAAGAATTACAGGTCAACATCCCCAGCTCTATGGAAATACCAGGATTAAATACTTATTCTGTGGCCAGTCAATGGAAACTGGCTCTGGCCCTTAAGGAGCCCAGAAATGCACACAGAGCTGTATTTCTCCTGTGTGAGACGTGAGATGGCAGCGATTTACCACCTGAATATGGATGGCTTATTCTCTGAAATACTTCATGCTGCAAGTCATTTCCCTTTTTTCATTAACTGCTGCACCTCAGAAGTCATGATATGTGAGTGGTCCAGTCTGGGCAGCTTCTCTGAGAGCTGGGAATGGGCAGCTCAACACTGCTGCAAAGCCCTGGGGAAGGGCCTTGTGGATTAAATCTCTGTTCAGGGTTTTATCCTCCTTCACTCACTTTACAATTGCTGAAATGAGAAGAGAAGCAAAGCAGCAGGCCTTCTGTTTAAATAAGTGATGTCCTTTGTATCAAGCAATCATTTTAAACCGTACTCAGAGCCCATTATGTCAACGGTGGTTCTTGCCAAGGCATCCTGTCAGGACCCCTTTGGTGATTCCTGCCTATGCGTTGCCACTATGCAGCAACATGTGATGGAAGCCACTTTGTGCTGCAGCTCTGGACTGCTTCAGCTCTGGGGTCTGTCTTGGATTTTCCTGCTGTCACTGAGACAGATGATTTGTTGTGGGAAGGGTAGCGTGGCCAGGGAGCCCAGGGATGGAGCAGGACTCCACAGAGATGGGCATTTTGTAGTCATTGCTTTCCTTGCTATTTGACCAGGATGTAGTACAGGAGAGGGTGCAGCACAGGGCTAAAGGGAAGTAGTGGTTGTGCAGCCTGATGTCCTGGGAGGTGGCACCATGTGCCACACCAGCTTACATTGGTGGTAGAACAAGGGACTCTGCTGGTGACAACAGGTCATGCTGGTTGGCACCCTAAAAAGTCTTAAAACTATTTTTTTCTTCATTTGCCATCTATTTATTGGGGATTTGGTTTCCTACTCTGCCCCACTACACATCCCCAAACAAGGTTGATGTGGCTGGTCACCTATGCAACAGATTTGAATACATATTTCCTCCCATAACTGATCTTGAATCTCTTTTCTGTGTGCTTTGGATCAAAAAGGGATCAGGGTCTGCAGACTGAAAGCCATGGATGAAAATGAAGAGTACACAGAAATTTTACACCATTTTGTTTTATTCTCTCTAGAATGTATGAACTGCACGAGACTGGCAGACATGACCGAGAGGCTGAACACCCTTGAGGCCAAGGTAAGGACCTGCCTGTATTCTTCTTTGGCAAAAATTCCCAAGAGTTGACAGTGAAAAAGTTGCCGGGTTGGCAGCCCTGGAGAGATCAGGTGTCTGTCCTCCCATCCACAGAGAGGAACATGCTGTGGTGCTGGTTCTACCCAGGGAAGGAGGGCAGCGCTGCTGTGTACACGGGCATCTCTGGCCTGGCTCCTTCTGCTTCCCACACATCCTCTCCAGCTTCCCCCTGCCTCACCACTGCATCTCTGCTTCCCTCTTCCCTGCCGTCACAACTGTGCAGCTGCTATTAAATAGTAAATAGCTCATTGCTCTTGACTGGAGCACACTGGCTCAGGTTTTGCTCCAGAAGCAGGGCAGACAGAGCTGTGTGAAAAATCTCTTGCCTTCAGCTGGTTGATAACATGGGGATGTAAAGCAGTGATTCCCCTGGCTCAGGAAAGAAGTGGACTCAGATTCTGGTCTCTCACTAAAAATGCCTTGTAGAAACCTTACTAACCTAGAGTGCAAACCAGAAGAGTAACAGTATGTAGATTTTTCTAAAAACAGTTGTTCTTCAAGTGCTACCCAGTCCTGCTTTTTTAGCCCTGTTCTGAAAGAGGGGAGGCTTTCATGCATGGTCTAGTGGAAACAAATATTGAGACAAGATCTTCAAATAGTGGGGTTTTTTTTCCCTGCAAATTGTTTTAATTTCTACCTACTGGGATTCAGATAAATTGTTTGAGTCTAGTAACAAAGCATCTGAGTCAGTTCTTCCTCTTTGATCTGTGGTTCCTCCTGTGAAAGCCCAATCCTAGTTGTTAGATATAGTGCTTCGGTCCCTGTAAGGTATGTGCTGCTGTTATTATTCATTCATTAACTGATGCTTATCAATGACAAAAGAATTTGGGGAGAAACCTTTGTGGAGGGGGATGGTGGATGTGTGATGTTTCTGAGTTCAGTGCATGATATTATGGTAATTTGGGAATTGTCTGTGCTGAAATGGAGTGAGCAATGTTGCCTGGAACTTCCTCAAAGCCTTCGCAGTTATATTTCACTAGAGGAAAAATGAGAGGGTGGGGGGAATGAAGTTCTGGGGAGCAGAACTGTTCAAGTGAAAACTGCTGTATTGCAAAGGACACAAAGGAGCTGGATTGTTTTTCCAAGCAGTGGGACCTGGCAGGTGGGTGTTCTCTGGCAACGAGGAGCTGGAGGTGTTTGGGGAGGGGAAGAGGGGCTGGTGACCTCTGCTTGTGCAGTCCCAAATCCCAGACACATGGGACCAGCTTCAGAGGGACTCTTGCAGTGGGGCAACCTGTGGTGGTGGTGGGATGAGTTTCCTTCTGACCTTACTGTGCTCCCACAGAGACCCAAGTTGGGAGCAAAGCTGATTAAAGGGGTTATATTTGTGGAGGGAAATGAGTTATTTCTTTGTATTGGGAAGTACTAAAGACTGTGTCTCTGCAAGGGTGTCTTCTGCAGCACAGCCCAGCAGTGTCATTATCAATCTTTTGGCTTCCACTTTGTTTGAAAAGCTGTGGGTGCTGTGCAAAAATTGACTGTAGCAATTAAACTGAGAGTGAAGCAACACTACACAAATGCTGTTGCTGCACACAAGAGAAATATGCTGATTCACCCTTTTTTTCAAGGTTAATTTAAGTTCAGTTTGATCTATGTAGCAATGTAATGACCTCACTTGTTGCTATTCCATTATAGCTAGTACCATTAAAAAGGTGCTTGCATTTGTTTAGTATTGTCTGTTTCTCTGCTCTGGATTTTGGAGAAACATTCCTATTTTGCTGCATTATCTGAAATGAAGCTGTCTCAGCTCTCCCAACAGGGATCTTGCAGTGCCTCATTTCACCACCACACCAGCCCAAAGCTGCAGTGGTGAGATGGGCACACATGTTCCTTGCCAGTGTTGGAGACTCTTCCCTCCCTGATATTTCCTGTCTTGTTCTGCAAAGGCAGATGTGGAAGTTGATACTTCCTATGAACAGGGGGGATATGTAAAATGCACGCATGTCCTCCAGTGGCCGTGAAGGGCAAGTTAAAGAAACTTAAACTCAGTCGTGGAAGAAGTGGCTACAAGACTATGGTTTCTTCTTTCCCCACTCCTCTTCTGCAGGCTTTTATAGCTGTCCCCCTAAACAATGGGGATGTAACCAGCAATGTTTTCATCTTATTACAAGGATGAGTTGCTTCAGCATCCAAATGCGGTAATAAGAGTAACCCTCTGATTTTTGTAACAGAAGAGTTGGATCAGAAAGTGAGAAGTAAGAATAAACACAGAGCAAATGGAATGAAAAACGACTCATTAGGGACCGGAGCTTATACAGCCCTTGGGGAGGATAGAGACTCAAACTTGTGCTGCGGAACTAACTCTTCATGTGTCTGATGCTTTCCTTAATGCTGCTCTAGGCTGTTCTTGGGGCTGCAGGAGGTGTTCCTGCAGGAGAGGAGCATGGGAGATGGAATCAGGTTCCATCCTTGTCTCCCCTGTTTCCAGTTACCCTGTCATTTCCCCAGGATGGAGCTGGCCTTTTCCATTTGGTTTGTACCAGACCCATTTGGGTGCCGGAGATCTGAAAGCTTGATTGATGATGTTGAGCTTGAAATCTACAGGCCATGGGACTCCATCTCAGGGAGGATGGTGTTGAGCCTGGGGTTAAGGACAAGAGACGGTGCAAGGCATGAAGAAAAGGACACTCCCCAGCCCCAACGTGTCAAACCTTCCTGACATCACCACAGCCTCCCCTGGCCCTGTGGGGAGCCTTGCTGGTGGGAGGGCAGAATGAACCTGGCTTCTATTTCAAACGAAAGGTTTCTCCTTCTGCCAGCACAGCTGCTCAGTGGGAAGACTGTGCAGCCTTTCCTTTCTGTAACTTCCTGAGCCTGCTGCTGCCCTCCTGTGTCACAGGACCGAGCCCAGACAGACCCCATGGAGGCTCAGCAGCACAGCCCAGGGCAGGCAGTGCTGGCAGAAGAGTAGGCACCAAAACCTCTGCTCCTTTTGTTCGCCCAGTTTCTTTTAACAAACTCCACCACAGAGCTATGGGCACTGCAATATTATTCCCAGCTTTTGGTGGAAGCTTGCGCATAGCATTTGATCCGAGCTGCTCTAACCCAGTCTTGTCTCCTGACACCACATCTGAGAAGTTCATGGTGTTTCACTTAAAGCCTCAGTGCAGGGAGAGAACGTGAGATATCTAATGTCTGATTCACTCTGTGATTGATAAATGACATGGATGTTTATTGCATGAAAACAGTCCTTGTAATGTGACTCCCCACACGGAAAATTTTGAGAGGTTTTAAAAAGAAAACCTTTGCACTGTGCACAGAGTTTGATCAATACGTTGATCAATACATACACTATTTATATGTAGATTTATATCATCCTGTTTCTTTACAATAAGTTACCCCACAGCACCTGTGCTTTTTTATTATGAAGCACCAGTACTTGGGAGTTCTAATGTAATCACTGTATGAAATGTTTATCTCCCCCTTCTTCCAAGCAGTTACATGAAATACTGGCAGCTCTCTGGGATGTTTTATGGAGTTTGTCTTTTCTTTCTCTAATAGGCAATAAAACAGTGTCCAGCTGTAGTGGAGAAATATTTGGAAAACAGAAAATGCTGCAGAGGACTGTGACAAAGCTGAGTGGCTGTGAGGGAAACTCCAGTTCCTTGGCTGTGAGGCCAAGTTGCTTGATATTTCCAGGGCTTTCATGGATTTTCCATGGTGTATATATGATTGCCACTACCAGTTACTTATTTTATTTTGAACAGGAGGGTGGCTTATTCAATCTCTAAGACTTCCTAATGACCCTCTGCAAAATCTGCTTCTCCAGCTCCAATATTGAATTTAAGAATTATTTGGCCTATTTCACAGGTAGTTGTATGATGTCCATCTTGTTCGAGTAGCAATAACAAACTGAAATCAATCCCTGTAAATTTTTTATTTCATGTTGAGTTTCTGTAGGTCAGTAAATGTAACAAATCTCTTTAGGAATAAAGCGCAACCTCATAGCTGATTTTTACAAGGGGAAATAGTGGCTGTGCAAACTGACTTGTGTGTCAACGTTCATCTGAACTTTGCATCTATCTCTCTGGCCTTTTTCTAATCAGCAATACTCGTGGCTATGATCAGGACACTGGAGGCTGTGTGGGTACTGGCCTTTCTCTCATTTGGACACGCTTCATTCTTTCAGAAGGACAGTTAAAATCCTTTCCTTCTCAAGTCTAGTAATTGTTGGATCTTACTTCTTATCACTGTTGGATTGAAGGAGCAATCTGTCCCCTAAGACTGGTCCATGTGTTTGGCAAATACTGTAAATCATTTGCCAGAACCACAAAAGGCTTTAAAGACCTTCTCCTCCCCCCTCCCTCCCGCAAAGTCTTTTAGTTACAAGTTCAGCGTTTTTAGTCAAATACATTTAATATTTTCAGAAAATAATTTGGAAAAATTCTGCTTTCCTATGACGTGCAACTTAATTTGCCAAGCAAGTCCTATGTGTCTGTGTTAGGGAATTCTTTTGGTGTGTTTGATACCTGGGAACGTTGTTTTGGTGCTTTGCTTTTTAAGATAAATACTTTTGTGGACAAAAAGTGTAGGTTTAAGCAAGGGAGGAGCCCTTGGGATGTCAGTGCTCACATCCTTTGGTAATGCAAACTTCCACTTGCTTCTCAGTCAGAAATTCTAGTGGAGCATCATAAGGAAAGTATGATCGTAAAAGAAATATTACTTGGGATCCTTTTTTCCAGTTTGCACCCAGGTGAGCCAGGAAGGCACCAAGCCCCTAATCTTTTCCAGTTTGCTGCTCTCTTCTTGCAGCTTTTCATCTGGAGTCCAGAGGAGGTAGAGTGCTCAGGAGGCTTCTCAGCTTGTTTGTGCCAGCTGATGGGAGCCTATCAGCCAGAGCTGAGGGCTCCTCACCTGAGAAGCAGAGAGCTGATCTCAAAGCCCTTACTGAGAACAGATGTTCCTTTGTCAAGGCTGTGTCCATCTCAGGCTGGTCTGGCTCC